AGGGCCAGATGGTGGACTTCTCCACCAGCTGGAGGGTTTGGAGAGAGAGGGGTGTGGACGGTGTTCCCAAGCCCCCAGCATGCCAACCCCCATGGTCAGGATTCTCCATGGCAGCAGGAGGTGTCTGGGGAGGGGCGTGCTGTGAGACCTTGGACCCCGCCGTCATAGGCAGCGGCTGGGGTGAGCACAGGGGTCTCTTGGAGGGACCCTAAGAACCACCCCCAGGCACAGGGGTCTCCCTGACGCTCTGGTCTCCGGAGGGCAGCTCTGCAGGCCCAGAGAGTTTGTGCCTGGGTCACGAGGCCGGGGGAGATGCCCATCTAGGGTGGGGGCTGCTAGGGATGGCCCTGTGCCGATGGCGGGGGGATTCCCAGGAGGAGTGGGGCCTGAGGTCCTGAGGGGTGTGGCCCACAGAGGAGCTCCTCCCGAGTGCCTGGGGTAGAGCCCTTCCGGTAGGTCCGCAGGGAGTGGCGTCCAGAGCCAGGTGTCCCTGCCTGCAGAGGGCACCGCGGAGCCCACCCGGCCTCCCCGACCTCCCCTGCCTGCCCGGCCTCCCAGCTCCACTCCCAGAGGCCTTCCCGCTGACCCGCCTGGCCACTGCTGGTGCCTCTGAAGAACAGAGACCCACTCGTCCCTTGGGAAGTGCCCCGGGTTTGAGGGGCTCCGTGCCAGGCCCCAGGACAGAGAGCAGGTGTCTGTTTTTCCGGGTCGTCCTGGCTTCGTCTGTATGGAGCCTGTGTTTGGGACCCCCGTCCCCCCACCCCCAGCTGATGGCTCTGAGGTGGTCCCCCTGCTGGCTTCCAGCGCGCTGCCTTTGTGGGGAGCCCCCGGGGCCCCTTCATCCCTGGAGCTCACCCCTCGTCAGGAGAGCGGCCGTCGTGAGATGCGAGAATGGTCCGTGTCCCTCATGATCTTGAAGACTCCCGTGGCTCTTACATCCGCAGGAGTCTGGGCCTCTGTGTTTCAGGTCTCTGTGTGCGCGCGCGTGCCTGCGTGCGCAGGAGGCCTGTGCCTGGTGACACTCTGAGGGAAGGAGAGTCTGAGCATTCACCGGGCAGTAGGTGGGCTCTGGTGCCCCGTGGGTGTGGACCCCAGGAGGCTCCCGGGGGAGTGGGGACGGCGCCGGGAGCGTGGGGGCGTGCGGGGGGGTGTATGCGGCTGTCAGGCGGCTGTGGCTGTGGCGTTCTGCCCTTCACTTTTTACCAGAGAACCGGGTGTTTGTTACAAAAGTCCTGGCCCGGCTGATGACCGCGTCCTGCTGGGTTCTGCTCCGTCCGGCCCTCTAGGCAGCTCCAGACTGGGCCGTGCCGCCTCCGCTCCCAGGGCCCCCGCAGCCTGTGGGACCCATCCCGAGGGCAGCTGCCGCCGTCCCCTCCTCCATTCCTTTTTCACGACGACATTCAGCCGCAGACATTCAGCCGCAGCCACTCTCGGGGAAGCCGGTCTGGCCGCCTCTGTCTCGGTCGGCGGAGGAGACCGTGACTAGGAAGAAGCGGGCGTTCGGGGAAGCGTGGACAGAGACGCCGCTGGGCTGGCGGCGCGGGCTCAGCCCGAGGAGCGCTGGCGGCCCCGCGCGGGCTGGGGGCTTCCGGGACGCGGGCAGCTGCTGCTCCGACGGCTTCGGTACGATGTCCGTCGGGGCCGGCAACGGCGCGCCCGCCGCGCACCCAGGACACCGGCCGCACGTGTCCGCCGACGCTCGCCTCTCAGCGCCCAGAGACGGACGCGCGCGGTGCCCCACGGCCCCTGGCACGGACCCGAGCCCACGACGCTCGGGGAGGGAACCAGACACAGAAGGCCTCACGGGGTGTGAGTCCACGCATGTGTCACGCCCAGACCAGGCTCCTCCAGGGACAGGAAGGGGCTCGGGGGTGATGACTGATGGGGTTGGGGTTGCTTTTTGGGGAGATGGAAGGTTCTGGGATGAGATCATGGTAATGGTTGGATAACTCTGTATTAAAGACCACTGAACTGTGTGCTTTTTTATTTTTTTTATTTTTTAGATTTTTTTTTTTTGATTTTTAAAGATTTTATTTATTTGACAGAGATCACAAGCAGACAGAGAAGCAGGCAGAGAGGGTGGGCGGGAGCAGGCTCCTCACGGAGCAGAGAGCCCGATGTGGGGCTCAATCCAGGACCTTGGGATCATAACCTGAGCCGAAGGCAGAGGCTTTAACCCACTGAGCCCCCCAAGCGTCCCCAACTGTGCGCTTTTCAAGGGTGACCAGTATGGGATGTGGGTCATATCCGTGATATGGGTGACGATAGAGCAAGGACCGAGAGACGGGAGGTGCCGTCTGCCCCCTCATGGGGAGAGAGGTGCTGTCCAGCTCCTCCCATGTGGTTCCAATGCCCCCCTGGTGTGCCTGGGGCGGGTCTGGCTCAGCCCAGGAGGAGGACGGAGCCCATCGAGGGCTTTGTTGTTGTTTTTACAGGAAATAAATATTTTTTATTAACGTATAATGTATTACTGGTTTCAGAGGTACAGGTGTGTGATTTACCCGTCCTACACAGTTCACAGCGCTCCCCACAGCACCTGCCCTCCCCGATGCCCATCCCCCGGGTGCCCCATCGCCCCCCAACCCCCTCCCCTCCAGCAGCTCTGTTTGTTTTCTGAGGTTAAGAGTTTCTTACGGTTTGTCTCCCTGTCTGGTTTTATCTTAGTTTCATTTTCTCCTGTTGCCCCTGTGCTCCTGTCTTGTTTCTGCGATGCTCATATCCGTGATGTCCTGTGACAGTTGTCTTCCTCTGACTGATTTTGCTCAGCGTAACCAGCTCTAGTTCTGTCCACGTCATTGCAAATGGCAAGATTTCGTCCTTTCTGATGATGGCGTGATATTCGTGTGTACCTGGACCACATCTGCACCCACTCGTCTGTCGGGGGGACATCCGGGCTCTTGCCACAGTTTGGCTCCTGTGGACGCTGGGGGACAGGCACGAGGGCAGCGTTCATAGCAGACTTGGGGCGACGGTGTCTGTGGGGTCACCTGCAGGTGGAGGCCGGGTGCACTCGGGGGGCTCCTGCGGGGTCTCCAGGCGCCCCCGACGGAAAGGGGCCGGCTCTGCCAGTCTCACATGGCCGTGTTCCCTCCTCGGGGAGCCCAGCCACTGTCCCCAAGACCCTACGCCCCTTGCATGTTCTAGGCTCTGCCCAGGGGTATGTGGGACACCACTGACGGAGCAGGGAAGCTGGGGACCCCCGCGCGCCCCCTTCTTCATGTTGGGCCCTGTTGCTGACTGACAGGCCCAGCACACCTCGCTTGCTCTGGCCCCCAGGGCCTGCTGGAGGGATGGTTCCCAAAGCGGGTGGGGCCTTCCCTGCTCCTTCCCTACCCGCCTGAGGTCCTTCCCGCTGGAGCAGGGGACAGAGCGAGGCCCCGCCCAGGCTCCTAGGGCAGCTCGCCTTTCTGGGTGATGTGGGCGTGCACGCGTGTGTGTGAGCCTGGAAGGGGGGTGTGCGTGCCACAGCCCTGGGCCATCACCCCTCCCTGAGCACGCGGCCCGGGCATCCCCTCCATGGGACCCCTGCCTCCTCTGAGCCAGCTGCACCCAGGACTCTGGGTCTGGCCTGGTCCTCGGAGCAGGGGTCCTGGGGGCCCCCCCAAGGGGAGGCAGCACCATCTGTGCCACTGGTGCCCCCTGCCCTGGAGAGCTGGCAGCCGCGCTGGCCGCAGGGAAGCAGCCTGCCCTCTCGGTGTTCCTGCCTGCCAGCCCCTGCCCGCTCAGTTAAAAACCCGCTGCCTCCCTCCACGGTGAGCCCGCCGTGCCCTGTTGCCTTGTGTCCTGTCACCTCGTCCCGTCAGCCACGCGCAGACATTCCGGGTGGGTGTGGCAGGCCTTGAGTACTGGACGGGGACGGGGTGGGCTGGTAGCGGCCTCGGGCAGTGCACTCAGGTTTATTTAATCAATTAGTTTGGAGCAAGGCCAAGGAGGGAGGGCGGGCGCGGGGAGAGCAGGTCAAGCAGGCTCCGCGCCCAGGGCAGACGCCGGCAGCGGCCTCGCTCTCATGAGCCTGGGATCACGACCTGGGCTAAAACCCAGCGTCCTCCGGCACGCTCCATCAGCCCCCGGAGGTGCCCGGGCGCCCCGCCCCGACTTGAGAGGAGGACGTGTTGGGTGGCGGGGTTGGTGCTTTCTCTTTGAGGAGATCCTTCGGCTTTGGTGTGAGCGGTGGGCGGGGTTGGAGAGAGAGGTCCGGTCTGGCCGAGTCTGCTGGGTGGGCGCAGGTCCGGGAGGGCCTGGGGCCACGGGGCCGGAGGCCGCTGGCCGGGGTGGTTTCTGTGGGTACCTCTCCCTCGCCATAGCCAGCTTGGGTGGCCGGCCCCTTCCTCCCTGTATCCTGGGGGCTGCTCGGTACCCACCCTTCCTTCTTAGCCCTCCATGGCTCCCGTGAAGTCCCTCCGGCCAAGGCTGGTCCCATTCCAGTGGCGCGCACAGCCTGTCGCCGGCCCTCCCTTGGCAGCTGCGGACTGCGTGAAGCCTTGCCGAGGTCAAGGTTCCCTCCGGCCCTGCCTGACCACAGGCCATAGTTCTGCACCGTGAGGCCCACCTGCACAGCTCAGGGTGGGGTGCAGGGGGGCGCGGTGGGATGGCCCCGAGGCATCTGAGGTCCATGGTGAGGGTCTCTCAGCCTTGGGCACTCTCTGCTCTCTCTGTGCCCAGGCTTGGGGCTCCACAGCTGGCTTTGGGGTTCTGAGGCCTCAGTCACGTGACTGGCCACCCCCTCTGCCGGGGGCTCTGTCCTCGAGTCATGGGGCGGGGGTCCCTCAACAGAGCCCATCCCCCACCAGCCTGACCTGTGGCATTCACAGGGGCCTGAGTCACTGCACCCCTGTCCCCCAGAAAGTCGTGGGTCTCACTCGCACCTTCAGAGAAGTCTTTCCAGCGTGTTGGTTCACTGCCCAAGCCTCTCATGGTGCTACCTGTGGGTCCCCCGCCGGTCTGGGACAGTGTCGTGGACACGTGTGGCCTCCTAACCCCTGTCTTTGTTTCTCTACCAGCTGGGAGCTACGAGATTTGAGGCGGCGGGACCTGTCAACAGAATGTGTCCTCCCCCTGCATGCGACCCTGAGGCCACCGAGATGAGCACCACGGCCGGGCCCTGGCAAGCGGCCGCGTCTCACTAGCAGGGAGCCCGCCGGGCCGCCATGGTGTACTAGCCCCGAAGAGCCGGCCGCAGCCTCAGGTCTGCCCGGACCCGGGATTTGCACGGCAGCAGAGTCACCGTGGAGAGGCCAGGGTACCACAAACTTATGGATTTTGACAAGAAAGGAGGGAAAGGGGAGTCGGAGGAGGGTCGGAGAATGTCCAAGGCCGGCGGCCGGACCAGCCATGGCGTCCGGAGCTCGGGGACCAGCTCAGGGGTCCTGATGGTGGGACCCAACTTCCGGGTCGGGAAGAAGATAGGCTGTGGCAACTTCGGGGAGCTCCGGCTAGGTGAGCCCCTCGCTTATGTTCTGGGGCACGGGAGGGGGAGGCTACCGGACGGGGCTACGGCCCCCACTCCCAGATGACTTCAGATGGCTGGGACTGGGAATTCAGGTAAGTGTGAGATTCTGCTCCCTAAGGGGGAGGTTTTGCCGGAGGGGTGCAGCCCTAGCCTCAACCTGTGTTTCCCTGTCGGGGATTGTGTGCGCCCCGCCGTGCAGGGGGGACCCACGTGGAAGTTTCTAGCTGGCGGGGACAGGGGCATTAGCCGGTGAGATGTGTGCTCAGCCCCTGCTGAGCCCTTGGCTGAGCCCTGGAGCCGCAGGCAGAGCCTGAGTCCTCCCCCAGCCGGCGGCCCTGGGAGGCTTCGGGGGTCCTGCGCAGAGCCAGAGGCACAGCACAGCTGCTCAAGAAGGCCGGCACTGGGCTTGGGCCGTGGCGTCTCGCTGCTTGTCTGCGGCTTTAGGAAGCCCTGGGCTCAGGGTCTGTGAGCGAGCAACTGTCCGGGGCTGGGATCCGGTCTCTGGGTGCGGGTCGAGGGGCGGGCGGGGCTGGTGCTGGGCTCGAGCAGCGGGTGCGGGTGTCACTCGGACACGGAGGCTGCCGAGTTTGCGGCCGAGGACAGAGGGCAGCACGTCCGGCCCTCCTGACAGCCTGCAGCCAGTCCCGCAGCTGACCCAGACGGAGCCACCCTGTCGCCGTCCCGCTGCCCTGCTAGCGTGTGCGCGTGTGCACCCCCGTGCTCGCACACACCAGGCTCAGTGCCGGCCTGCAGCCTGGGGGCTACACAGGCCTGTCTTTGGGGTGTTGGGGTCAGCAGCCTACACAGTCTGGGTGTACACAGGCAAGTGACAGGGTGCGTTGGGGCCGTGGGGTGCCGCAGTTTTGGGCTTCAAGCCTTTTAAAAATTGAGGGGCGTGGTGTTTTCTGCCGGGCTTCTGCCCACATGGTTTTGCGTGTCCCCGCTGCTGCATGTGTAGCTAGCTGGTTGTCGGTCTTTGTGACCGCGCCCCGTTGTCCCGTCCGTCCTCCCGCTCAGGGACGTGCGGCTGCGCACAGATTTCTGCCACTGTGGTGCACGTGCTCCGTGCGCCCTCCCCAAGTCTAGCGCAGATGTTTTGTTAAAGTGCTGGGTCACGGACAGGAAACTGCCAGACTGGCCCCGCAGGGAGGGCGACATTTCTAAACTCCCACGGGCAGCGTCCGAGGGCCCGGGAGTCCTGTGGCCCCGTCTGAGTTCAGGCTTGTCCGGCTTCTCTGCTTGGAGCGCTCTCGGGGACGCCAGCTGGTCTCGTGTGCACTTCCCACTGATTCCTGCCCTCCCGTCCGTCGTGCATCTTTTTTCCGGGCAACTCAAAGGTTTTCTCTTTGCTTCTGGTTTCAGACCACCATTCTGCGTGGTTTAGGGCAGGTTTCTCTGTGTCTGTCCCGCGGGACTGAGCGCGCTTTGCAGACCTGTGTGACTCCTTTCCGTTACATCGGAGCAGCTTCGGTCCTCTGTCCGGCTCGTTCCTTCCTTCGTCTTCGGGCCTTTTGCGTCCCCCAGCCCGACAGCGCGCGAGGTGCTCGATGCTCTCCTGCGGGGCCCCCAGGCGGCGGCGGGTGTTCCCACGGCCCGTGGCCTCCCTTTGTTTCGGTCCCGTTCGGTTTTGCTCGTCTGTACATTCACCGTCCTTCCCTCCGCCGCGTCTGGCCTGTTGTCAGAGCCGCTGGGGGTGAATCTTTCCTTCCATGCTCGGCGTTTCTCACTTCTCTGGATGCCCCATTTCCCCCTCGGAGTTTCCCATCTGCCTGTTCGTGTCACCCGTCTCGTCCTTTGAGTCTCATGCATCTCGTGACTGTTAAACAACTGAGCTCCCAGCACCTCTGGCTCCGTTTTCCTTGTTACTGCCTCGCTCACGGCGTCTCGCACCCCTGCACTGCCTTCTCCGCTGGAGTGGCGGGTGCCGCGTGGGGCGTCTGCGTGGCACTTTGCCCCGGAGGCTCATCTTGACATCGTCGGGGGCTGGCACTCAGCGGAGAGCAGACCTCACTTGGGCTGGAGTCACCTCTGTCCCATGGCGAGGGCGTCCTGGCTTCTTAGCCAGGGGTCGGGGGAGCTCAGGGGGACCTCTGCACCTGGACGGCCGCCGCTGCAGCCTCCTGTGGCCCCCAGGATCTTCCTTCTGCTCGCCGCCCTCGGGAGCACCAGTGACTCTGCTGACATTGGTGAGGCCCTCTGAGCCCCAAGGACCTGACCGCCTCCAGCTGTGTGCGACTCCCCACTTCAGACACAAGTGGGCACGTGTGCACACGCTCACCTTCAGCTCACTCTGGCCTTCAAGGACTTTGGCTCTCCCAGGGCTCACGCAGGCGGTCAGAGCGCCAGTTTCTTCCGCAAGACCCAGTGATCAGTTACTGTAAAAGGTCAGAATCCCCAGAGTTAAAGACTTCCTGCTGTGAGGGGCGCGTGGCTGGCCCTGCTGGTTGAGCGTCTGACTCTTGGTCTCGGCTTGGGTCGTGATCTCAGGGCTGTGGCGTCGAGACCCGCGTCTGGCTCTGCGCTCCGCGGGCGGCTGCTGGGGACTCTTCTCCTGCCCCCTCCCCACTCGTGCGCTTGCCTGCTTGCTCTGTCTTTGAAGTCTTTGGGAAGACCCCGTGTTTTCACGAGAAAGCCGGTTAGAAGCGAGGACAGACAGGCCACAGACAGGTGGTGCCGCCGAGCGCTGTGACAGAGCCCCTGTGTCGCACACGTGTAAAAAGACGCCGTGAGTGCAGACGGGCAGGAGAGGGCCGCCCAGCCAGCTCGCCGGGGGGGGGGGGGGGGCGTGCGAGTCCTGATCCGGGGTCGTGAGCTGGAGCCCCGTTCTGCTGCTGGGAGGACGGAAAGAGACCACATTAGAAACGGGCAGCAGGTGTGGAGAGAGGCTCCAGAAGCAGCCATTGAGTCGCCATGGGGCGCAGAGGCACTCGGCCTTACCGGCCACGGGTGAAGGCGGCCACGTGAGTCGCACGCCACGTTTGCAGCTCGAGCAGCGGACCGGGCAGGGCGGCTCGGCGTGTTGGTGCCCTGCGGTGCGTGGGAGAGCGGCCTGGGGGCCAGCCGGCGTCCTCGGAGAAACATGGCAGGAGCCGGGAAGGGGAACGGGCAGGGTGGTGCCCCCTCGGTCGCTGCCTCGGGCGGGCTTCTGTGTCGCAGTGCAGCTGGCGGCATCCCACGCCCGCCCGAGCTCGTCACGTGGGCCCGGCGGGTGCGCGCATCCCTGGGAAATGCCTCCAGCGAAAACAGGCACCGCGAGTCCTGCTGAGCCCGGCCGCGCTCATCGGTGGGAGTACAGAGGGCGCTGCTGCTGCTTTGAAATGCTCTGCTCTTACTAAAAATAAGGAAGATGGGGGCGCCCGGGGCGTTCCATTGGTTGACCGTCTGCCTTCGGCTCAGGTCATGATCCCAGGGTCCTGGGATCGAGCCCCGCATTGGGCTCTCAGCTCAGCGGGGAGCCTGTTTCTCCAACCCTGCCTCTGCTGCTCCCCTGCTTGTGCTCACTTTCTCTCAAATAAATAAAATCTTAAAAATAAGTAAATAAAGGAGATGATCTGGTGGCAGGTGCTCGGCCATTCAGTGGGGTGACGAGCAGGTTGTCAACTGGTGCCGCCTGGGGCCCGAGGGTGTGGGTCTTCCCCACGTGGCGTTTCTGCTTTTTCTGTTTGAGACTTCCTCATAAGATGTTGAAGAAAGAACGTAAGAGGCAAAAGCTAGTTTTCATCAAAAGCAAGGAAGCGGGGCTTCAAGAGAGCGTCCGGTAAGCCTCTTGGTCGTCTACAGCGTGAACAGGGTCTGCCAGGACGCGGGGCCCCGCGGTCCACCCCTTCCTGACCGTGGCCCTCGAGGGCGAAGACGGGAAAACAGACGGAGAGAGCGGGCTGGGCGCACCCGCATGGCTCGGGCACAGGCCCGCGGCGGCCACGTGGTCTGTCCGGACGCCGTCGGACGTGAGCTTTTCTAGTTGGGCAACAGTTGGAAAAGAAAAGTTTAAACACTGCGGGTCGTCCGCGTGCCGAAACCTGCCAGGGGCCTGCAGAGTGACTCCGATAGGCTGTCACACACTCCCCGGCGACAACTGCGAACCCCCGTGAGAAGTCACCTTGCACGTGGCGGCCAGCGGCTGTGGGGCCAGGTGTCCCCGCCTCGGGTTCTCCTGAGGCCTGCTCAGCGTGTCAGGGAAACGGACCCGTGGACTCTCGAACCGCCCCGGGAACAAGGCCGTAGGATGGCCGAGGCTGCTGGTGCCACAGACCACCCGGAGCACAGCTGGGATGGGGCGGGGACTTGGGGGAGGGGCTGGTGGGCAGGGGGAGCCCCCGCGACAGCCTGGGAGCTGGTTCACGGGAACAGCCCGGGTGCGGGTGACACCATGATGGGGGAGTAGTAAGCTGGGGCCTCTTCCCCACAGCGGATCCTCCTCCGGGACAGTGGGACAGACGCGTGGCCTCCCGGAGGAGCAGGTATACCGTGTGGGGCCGCATTCGTGGCCTTCCGGGGCCCGTGAGGCCGGTCTGAGGACATAGGCCAGGGTCGTGCTGGGAGGAGCTGCTCTGCGGGAGATGGCAGCCCGGCTCCCTGCGACACAGTGCCCAGTAACCCCCGGCGGGGCTAGGGAGTGGGGCCGAGCACTTGGGCAGCCCTCGGCGGTGCTGCAGCCCACCTGACCTCAGAGCCACAGGGTGCGGGACCCTTTACAGAAGCTGCGGGGCTGGGCCGGCGCTCCAGGAGCCCCATCTGGGGTTTCTAGCAGGTGAAACCTGGGCCGTGGCTGGTTCTGGAACTCACGTGTTCGCAGTTCTCTGGGGTTGGGTGTGTGGGCTCTTCCTGTGTGGGCTTCTGGAGGTCCTGCTGGTCAGTGGTGGGCTGGGGAAGACCACTTGCCCCAGGCTCTTTCTAACCTGTGAGGCACACAGATCCTAGCCCCAGGCGTGCTGGGAAGGCAGCCAGAGGCGCTCTGCTGACCAGGTGCCGCTGCGTGGGGTCTCACTGGACCACAGGTTCCAGCAAGGGGCAGGGCCCTGGGGCCTCTTTCCTTTCCGCACCACAAGGGAGCTCCCCACGCCGATGGCCAGGTGTGGAGCGCCTTCGGTGAGTCCCCTGCAAGACAGGACCTGGACAGGCCTCTCCATGTGGCTCCTTGCCAGGGGGCTGTGCTCCACAGGGCTGGGATCTGCTGGTGGGACCGACAGAAGGAGATGAGCCAGTGGGGGCGGGGGTGTGGACTGCTCTGGGGCTGGTCCTGGGTAGAGGCCAAGCAGCTGTTAGAGGGGAAAGGGGAGGGGGTGTTCTGGTGAGCCCCGAGGGGCTGCTGCAGGTCAGACGGCACAGGCTGAGGGAAACACTGCCCTCTCCTGCTTTGCTGCCGTGGGAGCTGAAGAGGGGCCTTGGGGTCACCATGGGTCTACGTTTTCTCTCTTTGTCTTTTTAGATGGGAGAAATTGCGGCGAGCTGGTGTGCTGGCAGGAAGGAGTCCCTAGAGAGGAGTTGGGAGCGGCCCCCTTGAGTGGGCGGGCCTGGTTGGTGGCGGGAGGAGAGGGCCGCCTGCGGGGTGGGGGAGGCCAAGGATGAGGGTGGGGGTGGCAGATGGGGCCACCCGCGGTGGGGCAGGGGGCCTCGTAGGCGTTCTTTTCCTTCCCAGGACGTGGCCAAGCTCAAGGGGGTCTGCCGGGGAATCGGAGGCGGCCCCCGGAGGCCCCTGGGTCCGCTGGGCCCCCTGCCGGGGCGCTGCGGCTCTAACACTTGTCTCTCCCACAGGGAAGAATCTCTACACAAATGAGTACGTGGCTATTAAACTGGTGAGTCCGGGACTTTCGTGTGGCCGCCCGGCAGGCCACATCCGGGCTCAGACCGGCCGAGAGTCTCCTGGGGGGGGGCACGCACAGAGGGGGGTGTCACCTGAGCTCAGACCGGCCCAGTGGGTCTCCTGGGGGGCGGTGTGCACACTGTGGGTGGCGAGGGTCACCTGACCACATGTCCGCCTGCCTTTCCCAGGAGCCCATCAAGTCGCGGGCGCCCCAGCTGCACCTGGAGTACCGCTTCTACAAGCAGCTCAACGCCGCAGGTACGGCGGGCGCGGGGCACGCGCAGTGCGGGGCGGTGCCCAGGGCGCCCCGCAGTCCCCACACGAGTCTGTGTTGTCCGCTCCAGAGGGCGTCCCTCAGGTCTACTACTTCGGTCCTTGTGGGAAGTACAATGCCATGGTGCTGGAGCTTCTCGGGCCGAGCCTGGAGGACCTGTTTGACCTGTGCGACCGCACGTTCACGCTCAAGACGGTGCTCATGATCGCCATCCAGCTGGTGCGGGCTGGGGGCGCTGGGGCGGGGCGGGGCCGGGGGCGGGGCTGCGGGTGGCCCTGACGCCCCCCCCCCCCCCCCCCCCGCCCCAGATCACGCGCATGGAGTACGTGCACACGAAGAGCCTCATCTACCGCGACGTGAAGCCCGAGAACTTCCTGGTGGGCCGGCCGGGCAGCAAGCGGCAGCACGCCATCCACATCATCGACTTCGGCCTGGCCAAGGAGTACATCGACCCCGAGACCAAGAAGCACATCCCGTACCGGGAGCACAAGAGCCTCACGGGCACGGCGCGCTACATGAGCATCAACACGCACCTGGGCAAGGGTGAGCGGCGCGCGGGCCGGGTGGGGGGGCGCGCGGGCCGCGCTGACCTGCTCTCCCCCCCTCAGAGCAGAGCCGCCGCGACGACCTGGAGGCGCTGGGCCACATGTTTATGTACTTCCTGCGCGGCAGCCTGCCCTGGCAGGGGCTCAAGGTGGGCGCGGCGGCGGGGCCGGGGGCCGGAGGCGCTGGGGGCCGGCGGCGTGGGCTCGGCTGACCGCTGTCCCCGCAGGCCGACACGCTCAAGGAGCGCTACCAGAAGATCGGGGACACCAAGCGGGCCACGCCCATCGAGGTGCTCTGCGAGAGCTTCCCAGGTAAAGGCCGCCCCCACCCCGCGGCCCCGGGCCCGCTGACCGCCCCCCGCCCCGCTAACCCCGCGCCCCCGCCGGCTCCCCACAGAGGAGATGGCCACGTACCTGCGCTACGTGCGGCGCCTGGACTTCTTCGAGAAGCCGGACTACGACTATTTGCGCAAGCTCTTCACCGACCTCTTTGACCGCAGCGGGTTCGTGTTCGACTACGAGTACGACTGGGCGGGGAAGCCCCTGGTACGTGGGCAGCGGCCCTAGCGTCCTGGTTCCTGCGGCGGGCGGGGCCCCGGGCAGTGGGGCGGGGGCAAGGGGCGTGGTGGGCGGCCTCGGCAGTGCGCCCTGCATCCCTTGCAGCCCACGCCCATCGGCACGGTCCACTCCGACCTGCCATCGCAGCCTCAGCCTCGGGACAAAGCCCCGCCACACAGCAAAAACCAGGTGAGGGGCTGGGCCAACAACCCCGCCATGGGGGGTGGGGCGGGGCCCACCTGACCCGCCTGCCGCGCCCCCACCCAGGCGGTGAACTCCACCAACGGGGAGCTGAACGCGGACGACCCCACGGCCGGGCACTCCAACGCCCCCATCACAGCGCCCGCGGAGGTGGAGGTGGCCGACGACACCAAGTAAGGCCCTGGGCAACAGCCGGGCACGGGGGCACCTCGGGCCCCCTTCCCACCCCGTGCCACATGTCCGTGTCCCCTCGCCATCCCCGTGCAGGTGCTGCTGCTTCTTCAAGAGGAGGAAGAGAAAAGCAGTGCAGCGTCACAAGTGACCCCGGGGCCGAGGCGCCCCGACCCCTCCTGCCACAGCCCCCCCGGGGCAGTCCGGCCCCGCCGCGCGGCGGCGTCCAGGACGCAGACTGCAGGGCTGGCCGCAGCTGCCCGCCTGGCCCTCGCGGGCTCACTTCCTTCACACGAGACTTTGGCCGAAGTTTCTACACCCGTGTCTAGTCCTTCCCTCTGAGAGCAGTGGCAGTGGAACAAGGAGAAGCGGCGGGGGCCGCCGCCCGCCGGAGTGAGTAGTCGGCCGCCCACGCCGCCGCCCTGTTAGTCGCATAAAGTCCAGCTTGTCTCCCTCGATCCAAAGGCCGTTTTCTCGAGGGGGCACCGTGGGCGTCGCTGCGGGGGGGTGAGCCCGCCCTGGGCTTCTCCGCGCCACAGGGGAAGGCGGGGTGGGGGGAGGCCCAGACCAAATGCTGCCGCAGATCCTGGACCGGCGGGCACAGCCCCGAGGGGTCTCCTGCCGCCGCTGCTCGTGGAGCCGAGTCCAGGGCCCAGAGCCCCAGGGGCGGCACCTGCTTGGCGCTCGGGCCGAGGTCTGTGCGCAGGTGTGCACGGGCTTTTCGCGGCCGTGCTCCACGCCCCGGCGGAGCAGCGGGAGACAAGCGCCTTAAAGTCCTGTCCCAGCCCCGCGGGCGCGCCCAGGCAGGGCAGCCCTGGCGGGAGCCATTCCCCTGCCCCCCCCCACCCCCGGAGGGCCTGCGCGGGCTCCCGGGCTGGAGCAGCGGGGCCAGCCTGGCAGCGGGTGTGCGTCTAGGCCTTGCTTTACCGTGTACAGAAACGGCACTTCGGTTTCTCTGACGCTTCCTGGAAGCCATAGAGTTTAGGGGCTTTTTTAAAAAAAATAAAGGAAAATGAAAGTCCTGAGTGTGGTGTCCGGTGTTTCCAAGAGGCTTGGCTGGGGCAGCAGAGGTGCGCCAGTCCCTAGGCGGGGCAGGCCCAGGGCGTGACCCCCTGCTCGCAAGACGAGGACGTCAGAGCTGCGGTCAGTGCCGGAGCTGGGCGAGGCTCCATTTGGGGGCTGGGGACGCCGCTGTTGCCCTTGTCAGGATGAGCGTGGAGGACAGGTACGGGCCGGGTCTCCTTGGGCCTGGCTTCACACAAACACGTTAGAAACCCCGGCAAAGTGGCTGCTTGCAGGAGAAGTGGCGGGGGTGGGGCAGCCGCACTGGGTCCCTGTGCGCCTGACAAAGTGGGGGGCCCTGGGACAGCTTCACGTGGTGCCTTGAATGCAGCACAGAGGGAAAAAGGTTTCAGTGGCTTCTGGGCTGCTCGTGTTCTTCCAGCGCTCATCATGTTGACACCCGCCGTGGCATGGGATGGTGTTAGGGACGGATCTTTGGATGTGGTGCGGATCGGTGAGGTCATGGTGTTGGGAGGGGGTCTCCCCCTGCTGGGCTAATGCCCTTGTGAGGGGTCTTGGAGTGATGTGGCCGAAAGCAAAGGGAGTGAATTCTTAGCAAAACCAGAATGTGACCCTGTCCACTGCAGACCAGGGAGCTCGGCCAGGGGACTCCCAGCCTCCCTGGACAGGTGACTTCAACGCCAGTGAGGATGGCGAGACACTCCTGACTGCATTCGAAGACTTCTGCGAAAAGTCATCTTGGATCAGAAATTCAAAAACTAAAGACAGAAATGGACAGAACCAGAAGCGGAAACAGCTTGAATTCAGAAGGAAATGGAGGGGGAAGAGTACTTCAGGAACGAGGAAGAGTCCGCAGGGCCCAGCGTCCGTGAAAGGGCCTGGAAGCAGGGGACAGAGGGAGCACAAGGCGCGCCAGGAGGAAGACAGAGGCCTTCAGGGAGTGCCACACTGGCAGAGCCTTTGAAGAAGCAAGTCGGAGCGAGCATGGAAAGCCTCTGCTGGAGAGAACATTCCAGATGGAGGGACAACGCCAACCCCCCACACTGAATGGGCACCTGGGGGATGCAGAGAACAGCCACCGACAAGGCATCTTCTGGCGAGGCGACTGTTTCAGCGGCGCCGCTGGTCTGGGTGACCTGCCGGCCGAGGCGACTCAAACGTGTGAGCGCAGGGTCCGCGCGTGGCCAGGCTGAGCTTCGTGCGGGGCTCGCAGAGCCCATGTGCAGCGCCGCGCCCTGTGCAGGACCGTGGGGAGGATGGAGGGCAGTGACCGTGGGGGCGCGGACACTGGAGAGAGAAGGCAGGTAGCGCAGCCAGACGCCCAGCCCCAGAGCGGATGCCACTGGCACCCTGGGCTGTGGGGTCAGAGCCTGTGGCCCCGGGATGGAGCAGGCGGGTCGGTGCGGGGATGGAGCTGCGCGGGCGCTGCTGGCCACACAGTGGGGCCCGTTCCCGCCCACCCCGCTTCGGTGCCGTATCTGCTGTGTGTTTCTGAGCAGAGTCATTGTGTCCTGGTCCCTGGTATATTTCCGTTACGTAATTGTGAGTACACATTTATGTGTGTGTGTTCTGTGTGCACGCGTGTGTGCGTGCTGCCTCCACCGCTCGCCAGGGAGGCCCGGGCTCGGCCTGTCCTTCCAGCCTGGGGAGGTGCTTTTAAAGGTGTTGCAAATGTGGGTTTTTGCAACAAAGTCTCAACATTTGTTGCCTGAGAACATGTTGCCTGTGTTAGCGATGGCTGTTGGGAATGGGATTTCAGATGGGCAGGTGGGTTCAGTTTTTTGTGGGGGCGTTTTGGGTTTTTTGCTCTCCAGCATTTTACAGATGTCATTCGGCTGATTCTGATGTGAGTCATCATTGCTCCCTTCCAACTCCTGGACCTTTTTGTCTGGCCGCCTGCGACGCCACGTGTGAGCCGTGTGGCAGTGGCATGTGGTTGTCTCTGTCTTCGTCCTGCAGGACTTGCTGGCTCCTTAGATCTGGGGGTCGGTGTCTTGCATCAGCTCTGGCCGGTTTCCTGCGGTTAGCTCAGCAAGCTTGTTTTCCCGATGCCCCACCCCCGAGGTTTCCAGTTCTCTTTGTGTGGGACCATCTTACCTGACCCCAGAGGGCTCTGATACTCTGCGGGGTTTTGTTTTATGGTTTTCTCCTCCTCCTCTTCTGTTTTTCTTTTGTGCTTCCAGTTTGGGTAATTTTGACATGTCTTTGGATTTATTAGTCCTGACTTTTTGTTGTGCTTTGTGTGCTCTTAAGCTATCCAATTTATTAATTGTTCTGTTTTACGATTTTGTTTATATGACAGAGCACAGCAGGCGGAGCGGCAGGCAGAGGGAGGAGCGGGCTCCCCGCTGAGCACAGCGCCCAACATGGGGCTCCATCCCAGGACCCTGGGATCATGAATGACCCAAGCCGAAGGCAGACACCCAACCGACTGAGCCACCCAGGCGCCCCCAATGTATTCTTTTTTTTTTTTTTTAAGATTTTATTTATTCATTTGACACAGGCAGAGATCACAAGTAGACACAGAGGCAGAGAGAGAGAGGAGGAAGCAGGCTCCCTGCAGAGCAGAGCCTGATGTGGGGCTCGATCCCAGGACCCTGAGACCGTGACCTCAGCCGAAGGCAGAGGCTTAACCCACTGAGCCACCCAGGCGCCCCTGACCTCTAGTTTCAACATCTGGGGCCCCTGTAGGTCTGCTTCTATAGGCTGTGGTGTTTTTTTCCTCTTGATTATAGATTTCATTTTCCTCCTTCACGTTTCAGAATTGTTTTGCATTGCAAACACTGTGCTTGAAGACGGCAGAGCCAGAGGCGCTCCTTCCCAGACTGCCGGCCTGGATGAGGCCTTGGTCGGGCTCATCAGGCTGCGTTTCCACTTGGGCTTTGGCTCGCCTCCAGTTCACAGGTCTTGAACTTTGTTCATGTCTTGAGCTTGTTTTTATTGCCAGCCCCGAGTTCTCGCAGGACTCTGATTTCCAAGCACCGAGAGACCACAGATTTCCACCCCCACCCACCCTGCACCACCCGCCCAGCACTACGCACAATCCCGTGGGAGAAAACCTGCCATTTTCCAAGCTCCTCCAGGTTCTGGTTGGTTCTGCCAGTACACACGGGCGCCAGCCCCAGCCGGCTTCTCTCGGGCAGAGTGTGCCCTGCCCATGGCATACCCAGCTCGGCACATGCTTCTGGGGGGCCGCTTGTTGGCCTCTGCCCGCCGGGCAGTGTCTCTTCCTGAAACCCAGCCCCTCTAGGTTCCTCGGCATCCATGTCCCTTTGATAGGTTTTCTTTCAACTTTAACTTTAGGCTGTCCGCTGTGGCCCGATGGCGTGCGGACAAGAGGACGTTGATGCGCCCCCCGCCCCAGGCCAGGGTGACTAACGCACCCCTCAGCTCCCAGAGTTGACGGTGTGCGCAAGGTGAGGACACGGGGCCCTTTGTAGTAGCTCTGCCGGCCTGTGCCGTCATCACCGGGCTGCACGGTGCACCCCGAGAACATGCACATCTTCTCAGATACGCGCCAACCAGCCTCCGCCCAGTTCGCCCAGCCCTGGCCACCAGGGCACTCTCTGACCCCAAGGGGCGGCTGTAGTTCAGATGCCACGTGTGAGACCGCATACAGCCTCTGTGCCTGATGTCGTGCGTTGCTGCAAATGGCAGACTTTCCCTTTGAAAGGACGAGAGGCTGATACTGCACACCACGTTTCCTTCCTTCTTTCGCTCATGGCGCTTCATTTCCGTGTCGCCAGTGAGGCCGCACTGAACGTGGGCGTGCAGGTGGTCTGTGCCGTAACCAGAAAACCCCTCGTGCTGTGTCCTCACGATCTGTAGGGTGTGTAGTGCTGTCTCCTTTTCGGTCTGGACATCGCTCTTGGATTTTTATGTTTAAAAAAAAGAAAGTTTTTGGTTTTTGCTAGGATTCCAGCAAGAAACCAGCTAATGGTTTTGTTGGTATTTCATATGTTTTCTGCTTCAATTTTGGTCTCAGTATATTGTTTCCCACTTTGGGGATCAAATTTGCTGTTCACTTTCTAGTTTCTTAAGGTGAAAACTTAGACCTTTGGTTTTTCTACCTGTGCATAAAATATAAATTTCCCCAATTCCACTTTGACGGGATCTTATGATTTTGTTATAGTATGATCAGAGTATCATTCAGTTCAAAATATTTCCTCGTTTCCATATGGCTTGTTAGCCTGTGTTTATGGAAACAGGCTTTGGTCTCCCTGGATTGGTTTCCAGTCTGACTGCCCTGCCGTGGGAGGGCTGCGTCCCTTGGTGCCGGCCGGGTGCAGTCCCGCTCGCGGATGGGGCGTGTCGGTGTTCCTTTCCAGCTCGGGTTAGGGTCTCCCCGTTCTGTTCTGTTCTGCTGACCGCGTCTCCGCATGTATTCCGCACGCGCTTCCGTGCGCACCTGCAGCTGCTGCTCCTTCCTGCCGCGCTGCCCCCCCCCCTCGCTACGACATGGGCTTTGCTTCCAGGGCCACTTGCTGCCCTCAGGTCTTTGCCATCTTTCTGGTAAGGTCGGGGTCTGCATAGTGAAACTTACTACCTTTTATCTTCAGTTTTTCTGTTTCTTTGTAATTTGAGACTCTTGGAATCAGGAACTAGTTTAGTTTCGGTTTCCTACCCAGCCTGACAGTCTTCCTCTTTTAACTGGAGCGTAGAGATCTGTGTGTGTTTAACATAATTGACATAGTTTTGGTTCCGTCTTGCTGTTTGAGTTCATTTGTCTGTCAGTTTTGAAGGGCGCATTTTCTAGTTTGGTAGCTCTTTCTTCTGTATGGATTTTTTAAAAGATTTATTTATGTTAGAGAATGAGAGCGTGTGCTGACGAGTTAGGGGAGGGCCAGAGGCAGGGAGACAATGTTAGGCAGAAGCCGCACTGAGCACAGAGCCCGACGCAGGACTCGATCGCACAACCCCAAGGTCATGACCTGAGCCAAAACCAAGAATCAGATGCTTAAATGGCTGAGCCGAGGTGCCCCTCTCCTGCTTTCTTTTCCTTTGGTTTCTAGCAGTTTGAGTAAGTGTGGTTTTTAAATCTTACTGAGTTTCTCAGATTTTTAAATGCAGGGATTGATGTATTTATTCATTCTGGAAAATTCTTAGCTCTTGGGCCCTTCTCTTTCTGCCTGTTCTTGGGGATCATCTGACCCATGGGGCAGAGCCAAGCGAGGGACCCAGGTCAGGTTACCTGCGCTGCATGGCACGGCCTACGGACCTACTGAGTGCCAGCCACGCTCCAGGGCCAGAGGGCAGAGATGACAAGGCGTGGTCACGGTGCGCTCGGCAGAGCCTCCCTGGGGTCCCCAGATGGGCAGACCAGAAGTTCGTGCAGAAGACAGAGGGCATGGGGAGGGTCCCCAAGGCAGGGACATCTGTGTCAGGAGACCATGATTCCAGACATGGGCAGAACCTTCCCCGGGTCGCCCAGTCTTTCGGTGGGGACATGGCCGCGGAGAAGGGCCAGCTCTCAAAGCAACTGGGCTCCCGGGCCGCCTCCAGCAGGAAGAAGCTCGCGTGTCAGGGCCATTACGTTTCTTTCCTTTATTTAAAAAAATCATGTGGGGGTACGGTGTGAGGAGGGCACACCTTCCATGGCTTTGGGGAGGACAGTTTCCAGAAGGAATCACGGGGCGGGAACATGTGGTGGGGGTGCAGCAGGGTTTGGGGGCAGGGCTCCGCCCTCCCGCACCTCTGGGCAGGGTGCTTGCTCGGAGGTGGCTGCAGGAGGGGCAGGGCTTGGTATGTACAGGGTGGGGGATGGGCCAGCCGGGGACCTGGCCGCCACAGCGGACCCACGGCATCACCCGGGCAGATGGCGCCTGTGGTCTGTGCCCGTGGCTGCAGGGGCAGGACGGCTGCGGGGGGCCTGGCAGAGCGCCAGCCTGTAGGACCTCAAGGGGGGACCAAGGCCAGTGCGCTGGGGCCCGGGGTCGGGGTGGCCTGAGCATCCCGTGACCAGACCAGAACATGAGACCCCAAGCCGATGCACTAGGGGCGCCCCCGCCGAACGCCTCCTGCGCGAGGAATGGGAACCCAGAATGCATTGCCGTGTGCGGGGGGACAGGACAAACATGAGACGGGGTCCTGGCCGAAGCCCGTGGTAAGGACGTTGGTCAGGCAGCCCCGAGCTGCAGGGACAGCGTGCAGGACTCCCACGCCCCAGGACCTGGCGGCCCCTCCGCTCAGGGCGGGTCCAGGCCAGCCCTGCCTCCTGACACCCGCAGGAGGGCCTCCCAGCTCCTGCCTGGCTCCTCTGAGCAGGCAGCCAGGCTCCCCTCGGGAGTGACCCTCTCCTGACGCCCAGAAACGTGGCAGGGAGCGCGCCCACAGCGTGGGGGCCGCGGGGGGCACGGCCTGGGACGGGGGGCGGCCTGCTGGCCTCAGGTGGCTTCGGGGGCCTGGGGGCCTAGGTGTAGAAGATGACCTCGGGGATCTGGCCGTCCTCCACGGATGTGCCGTTGTTGTTCCCGGCCGCGTAGCAGAAGGTGAAGCACGTCTTGGCCCCCGTCGTGGGGGACTCATGGGTCACCTTGCGCAGGCCCTTGGTACCGTAGTGGGAGTCCGGGCCCTGGGGGTGGATGGGGTTCCGGCAGTCAGGCACCCCGGGGTCCCAGCAGGGCCCCTCCCAAGGGAGTGGGTCCTACTGGAGGCCTCGGGGTGGCAGCCCCCCGCCCGGGGCGATGACCACGATGACCCTAGAGCCCCACAATGGGGCGGGGGTCGGGGCCCTGGCGGGGTCTGGGGTCTGGGAGGGGCACCTTGAGCGTGGCGCAGGCCGTGTAGTTGACGTTGGGCAGCACCTCCACCGGCTCCTTGAACATGACTCGGAAGGTGCTGGCGGAGCCGTCACAGCTGAAGCCCGTGTCGTTCTGGCCCAGGACAGTGTTGCTGTCCGTGTGGATGATCTGGGGGGGGGGGGAGCGGGCGCTGCTCACCAAGGCCCCCCGTGCACCCCCCCAAGACCCCACGGAGGCCCAGAGTCGGCCCGTGCCCCCACGAGCAGGCTGATGGGGGGGGGGCGGGCCACGGGGCGGGCACCTGGATGTTCACTTGGTAATCCGTGGGCCCGTGGATGGAGCCGTAGAGCCCAAAGCCAACCACGAAGATGCGCTTGTTGACCGAGAACCTGGGTGGTGAACAGAGCAGGTGCCAAGCTGCGGCCGCGTCCCCCGCCGGCCCCGCCCCCGCCCTCCGGCCCCGCCCCCGGCCCCGGCCCGCCGGCCGCGCCCCCGCCCTCCGGCCCCGCCCCCGGCCCGCCGGCCGCGCCCCCGCCGGCCCACCTGATGCGGTCGCTCGTCCCGCTGTAGCCCCAGCGGCTCTCCACCTGCTGGAAGCGGTTGATGCTGCACTCCTTCCCGCGGAGGCAGCAGCGCGGCCGGTCGATGAAGTCCACGCGCGGCTTGGGGTTGACGGTGAAGTGCAGGAAGAGGCTGACCACCTCGCGGTCCACGAGGATGCCGGACTGCGCGGGCCCTGCGGGCACAGGGGGCGGAGGTCGGGCCGCGGTGGGGGCCCTCAGAGGTGAGGACACCGCGGGGGGGGGGGGGGGGTCCGGGCAGCCCTGGCATCTGCGGGGGCGTCCGATCCGCTGGCTCCCGGGGCCACAGGCCCCTCCCGCCCCCGGGTCACCCGGCAAGCAGTGGCCCTGGGGGGCAGCCCTGGTTCGCGGAGCTGCGGCCAACCCGCCCAGGCTCACGAGGGGCCGCTGTCTGCCCCAGCCGGCGGGGGTCCTGGCCGGGCAACCTAGAGACAGGGGGTGGGGGCGGCAAGCGGGCCCGGCTCCATCCACGCTTGGGGGAGCTGGTCTCCGCGGGCTGGTGACAGGCCTGTGTGCGGCCCCGGGACCGCGGGGACAGCTCTGGGGGAGTAAGGAAGATACAACGTGAACAGAGTTGACACGGTTCTTTTTAATCTCTGCGTAGGAAATGCAGGAGGAAAAGGACATCAGGCCGCGGCCGCGGTGGGCTCGGCTGCCGAGTCTCCGGGCGCGGTGTTTCCCGACTTGTCTCTAGTCTCGTGTTTTCCGGTGGGACACAGAAGCAGGGGCGGTCCTTCTCTAAAACGCGCTGAGCCACAGAGGGCCAGAAGGCCGGACCCGACCCCAGGGTGCAGACACAGATCATTCCCAGGGACCGCAGGCATCAGGCAGAGCAGGGCGGCCTGGGGGGGCCTCACAAGAGGGGGGATACAGGAAGCAGCGAGACCCCACACCCAGGGGAGTGGGTGGCACTAGCTGGGGTTGCCGCCCAGGGGTTCCAGCGGCCCGGTGGGCAGGGGGACCTCCAGGAGAGCAGTTTTGGGGGTGTGAGCCAAGCTGCAGCGGGAGGGACCCCCACAAGGCTCCCGCGGGTGTGGGGATGGGACAAGTCCTGGCCCCCTGACTGCCCCCGCCCGACAACATCCTGGCGCCATCCAGAGCGCCCAGGCCCCCGTGGTCACCATGTACTGCCGGTGCCTGGCGTGCGAGAGGCACTCACTATGCCTTTGATGATGGGCGACCCGGGCTCGGACGTCACAGCCAGCCCTGAACCCCACGCTCAAGACAACTACTCCGCAGGAGACGGCGGTCCTGGCTCGCGCGTGCGCGACACACGTGCTAACAGTTCTCTACCGCAGCTGCTCGATCAGGCAAGCCAAGCAGGGAGCGGGGCACACGGAGACCCGGGCCGCGATCGGCACTAGCTACGTGGCTGGGACCGGGAGCCTCACCCAGGACCCACCAGCCCCGGAGGGGAGGCCGGCAGCTCGGTGTCCACCCGTCCACCCGTCCACATGTCCACACGGTGGGGCTGCCTCCACGTCGGCGCGAGCCCAGCCTCCTCCCGCCCGGTGCAGGCTTGTCCAGGACGTGAACCCGAGCCGGGGGGCTGCGGCGGCCCAGCCCGCACACAGACAAGCTCACCGACACGCGGGACATGGGGGGAGGGAGCCCAGATGCCCGGTGGGTGCCGCCCAGGGGGTGTTGGTCTTTACACATTGGCATGCGGGCCACGCTGTCCACGTGAACCCGGCCAGGGTGTCCTCGTGGAGAAGCACCCCCCACCCCAGCTCCCGCAGCTGGCTCAGGGTCACACCTGGGGACCCGGGGGGTCGTGCTCCTGCCGAGCGGCCCCCACCCCCTCCCCATTACCTGCGGCAAACTCCTCGATGGTCATGAGCGGGAAGCGGATGAGGGCCAGAGCCTTGCCCAGCACCTGGCGCTTGTTCTCGGGCGTCACGGGCAGCTGCCGCCGCTGGCACTCAGCCTCGGACCAGCGGACCACGGCGCTGAACAGGCGCACCTCCCTGATGCCCAGGGTGTCCCGCTCCAGCACGGCCACCAGCGTGTCTGTGGCAGGAGGGGACCAGCTCGGCAGGGGGTCGCCGCGCCGCCCTCCCCGGCCACTGCGGCCACATGCCCCGGCGACCAGGGCCTTACCCAGGTCGATGTCTGTGAAGCCCTCGGCGGTGATGGCGTCCGCCGTGTGCTTGTCGATGTTCTCCAGGCACAGGCTGGCCAGCTGCGGCTCGTCGAAGAGTCGCGCCTGGCGAGAGAGCGGACCTCAGCGCACGGCCGGCGCGGAAACCCTGGATGCCCCTCGGGCCCAGACGCAGGCCTGAATTCCACGTCTCACGGCCACAGGGGCCGCACAGACTCGGGCTCTACGAGGCCCGAGCCTCCAAGGCAGACATGGGGCCCGCGGGCGGGAAGGCAGGAAGGTCCGGGGAGAGGGCCCCCCACGGCCAGCGGACAGGGAGGCCTTGCCCTTCGGACCAGCCGGGACTGCTCCATCAGGAACCTGCTTGCAGGGCGTGGGAACCAGAGCCGAAAACGTTCTGGCTCCTTCTGCCCAGCACAAGCCCTGCACCCGGTACGTGCTTTCCCTGCCTGGGGCCTGGTCGGCACAACCCGCAGGGCTACGGCTCTCGGTGCCACCCGCAAGGCCTGGCTCTGGCCCTGCCACACCCCACACGAGGCTGAGCCCAGGCCAGGCAGGGAGGCGGCGGCCCTGTCCCCTACCCACCTGTGTCCACATCCTTCCCTGCCTCCAGTCCCTGTGGCCACGCCAGCCACACCCCCACGCCTGGGACCACAGACCCTGAAAGGGACCTGCTCCAAGAAACTCTTATGATGGTCACAGCCCCTCTCCCCACACCTGACCCCTGAGAAAGGGCATCAAAACGCAGCTGGGAAATCTCTGGCCAGACACGTGCCACGCACCTTGTCTGAAAGGTCCAGGCCAGGATGAGCCTAGGAAAGCTCGCCTTCAGCCACAAAATTTAAGGGACGTCCAACACTCAGAGGTCCACCCCCAGCCACGTCCTCCCCTAACCCTCACACGCCTGCCTTCTCGCCCAGCCCTCCCGCATCCCACACACCCTCCTCGCCGCGCACCCACGGCCACCCGCGTCCCGCCCCCGCCCCCGCGCACCTCCCTCCTGATCCACTCCCCCGGACCGCGCCTTCGCCCCCCAACCCCCATGCGCCTTAGTGTCGCCTGGTCCCAGCGTCCCCGCACACCCAAGTTCTCGCACCGTCCCAGCGCCCTCACCTGCCCTCCCCGGCAGCACACCTGCGCCCAGTCTCAGGGTCCCGGCCCCGCCCCCGCGCACCAGCGTTCTCACCCGCCTCCCGCCGCATCCGCGCCCTAACCCGCCCGCACGGTGTCCTCGCCTAACCCCTGCGCCCCCGCGTCCTTACCTTCCCGCCGCCCTCTCCGCGCCGCGCCCTAGCCCCACACCCGCGTCCTCATCCGGTTCCCCCGCCCAGGCCTTCGCCGGACGGCACCCGCACAGCGGCCTTCTGATCCGGCCTCGCGCCGCAGCCCCCGTGCACCCGCGCCCTCTCCCGGCCTCCCTCTCCCCTGCGCACCCGCGGCCTCTCCCGAGCACCCGCTTCTCGCCGGCCCCGTGAGCCTTCCTCTTCGCCTGGTCCCACATCCTCACCCGCCCCGCCCCGCCCCGCGCCCGCACACCGGAGCCCCGGCCCCGCGCCGCGCGCACCTGCGTCAGCAGCATGAACGCGTTGTCCGCCCGCAGGTTTTTCTTGAGGAACTCCACGCAGTGGGCCTCGAGCGCGGGCACCGCGTACTTCTTGGCCGTGTACAGCGTGGTCATGACCGTCTCGGGTCCGATCTGAACCTCATCCGAGTACAGAAACCTAAGACAGGACACTAGGACCGTCAGACCGGCGGGCAGCAGCGCTCCAGCCCCAGGAGCCTTCCGGAACGAGCGGGTGTCGTCGCCCTGTGACCTGCACACACAACCTGCCCAAGACCCTGCACACACAACCAGCCAGGGGCTACCGCACCCACAGTCCAGCCCCTCCCTCCCCGGGGGCACCAGCGCGGAAGCCCCCCAACTCTGCCCGAGGTCCCCGCAGCAGGGTCTGCCCTGGGGCGGCCAGAGCTTTGGGCACCGGGCCTCGCGCTCACCTCCGCACTCTGAACGCGGACGTGCGGCTTGCGGTGCGGGACGAGGCATGGAGAGGTCGGAACGGGCTGAAGCCCGCCCCATGCACAGGGACGCAGCCCCAAGAGCCAGGCCTGGGGGGCTGTGCCCCAGCGCAGCCCCCCGCCCCTGTCCCCCGAGAATGTGCCAGAAGCCGAAGAGCCCCAGGCACGAGCAGCTGTGGTCCCACAGGGTCAGCCCCGGACCGAGGGGGGCAGGCGCGTGGAGGCCCCCAGGCCAGCAGTGGGGGGTGAGGGCACCTGGACCCGCCCAGCCAGCAGCGGCGCCAGGCGGCAGCACAGCCCCTCCCACCCCAGCGAGGTCCCGGCGATCCTCTGGGGGGGCAGCTCCGCAGCAGTAGCAGGACCGCCCCCGCCGCCTTCTAGGCCGGGGTCCTGCACACTGGAACCCACCACCTGTTCCCGTTTTCTCTCCGACATGTCTTTGGGTTTTTTTCTAATTACGATAAACTTCACCCAGCAAGGGGGGGCCAGGTAGGCTCAGTCAGAAGAGCTTCTGCAACTCCTGATCTCAGGGTCGAGAGCTCAAGCCCCACGTCAGAGCTGGAAGTGACTTAACTGGGGGGTGTCGCGGGGGCTCAGACGCTAAGCAGCTGCCCTCCTCCGCTCAGGTCACGGTCCCAGGGTTCTGGGATCGAGCTCCGCGTGGGGCTCCCTGCTCCGCGAGGCCTGCCTCTCCCTCTACCACTCCCCCTGCTTGTGTTCCCTTTCTCACTGTGTCTCTCTGTGTCAAATAAATGGATAAAATCTTTTTTAAAAAGCAGAAATTACTTAACTAGGGATACCTGGAGGGCTCAGTCAGTTAAGCCGCCGCCTTCAGCCCATGTCACGATCCCAGGGTCCTGGGATCCAGCCCCGCATAGGGCTCCCTGCCCGGTGGGAAGCCTGCTTCTCCCTTTCCTCCCCACTCATGCTCTTTCTTGCTCTCTAACAAATAAATAAAATCTTTTAAAAAAAGAAATTACTTAGATAAAACTTTAAACAGATGCACAGCATAAATTACACCGCTGTAAGATTTTTAGGTGTGTGCTTCAGCGGCGGGAAGCACACTCCCCCATCCTGCAACCACCCACTCTCCGTCTCCAGAACCTTCCATCCCCCAACACGGGGACAGAGTCTCCCACCCCCTGCCCCAGCCCTGGCTCCCACCCTCTCCTGTCTGCGTGGACGGGACTCCTCTAGGGCCCTCCTGGGTGGGGTCCTGCGGGACGGGTCCTTCTGGGTTCGGCTGCTCTCGCAGAGCCCCGTGTCCTCGGGGTCCCTCCGCGTTAACATTCTAGCGTGTGGACAGACACGTGGTATTTCCCCTGCACCCACGGGTGGACACTCGCTTTGTGAACACGGGTGCACAGGTCACGTCAGAGTCCCTGCTCTCGGTTCCCGCACAGACATCCCGCAGCTCAACTGCTGGGTCACGTGGTGGCTCCATGTGGAAACCTCCTGAGGGGCCTCCGGCAAGTCTCCCACGGACACAGCCAGGTCTCACATTCCCACTGGGCCTGCACGGGGGTCCCACCCCCCACCCCCCACTAATTCTTGTCAGCTCTCTTGTGTTTTTGTGTTTTTCGTAATAGTTACCCAGGTACGGAGTGATAGCTCATCATGGTTTTGTCACCTGTTTTTGTAAACAAGGTTTTATTGGCACACAGCACCCCCACCCCATGGCTGCTTTTACACTCCCAGCGGCGGGGGCAGTGGTGGAGACGGAGACAGAGCCCACTGGCCCCTGGGCTGAGCAATCTGAGAAGCTACACGATGACAAATCCATGAGATTGTTCCCCAGAGTGCCACTTGCCATCGGGGAAGACGCTGGGACTGGCGAAGGACCAACCGTGTCAGAGTCAAGGATTAAGGGGCATCCAGGGACCCGGCGTCCGTGAGTGGCGGGCAGCGGGAGAGAGCAGGGGTGGCCCCAAAGGGCAGAGGGGCTGCGGGCTGGAGCTCGGCCAGCACTCGCGTGGCCTTGGACACAGCAGATGGGGGCCGCTTGCTCTGTCCTTCACACTTGCTGGAACTTTCATTTTTTTCTTTTCCTTCCCTCCTTCCCCGCACCCGTATCTCCCTGTGTGACTCTGTGCCATCTTAACATTCGTACAGAGAAAACGAACTGCATTTAAAAGGGTGCCCTAGGGGTGCCTGGGGGGCTCAGCAGGTTAGCCTCTGCCTTCGGCTCAGGTCATGATCTCAGGGTCCTAGGATCGAGCCCCGCGTCAGGCTCTCTGCTCAGCAGGGAGCCTGCTTCCCCACCCCCCCGCCTACTTGAGATCTCTGTCGAATAAATAAATAAAATCTTTAAAAAAAAAAAAAAAAGGCGCTCTAACTGCTGGGTAG